TTACATTTAAAGTTCCCGCCGTCCAGACCCAAACCGCCCGCCACAATTATTGCTGAATTGTTTCTGGTTTGGTCTAGGGTTTCGTTTACGTTTATAGTTTCGGTTCGCTAGGTTAACACTATCTATATATGCATTTTTCATGAAATTAGTAAGTACCTAGTATCTATCAAAGAACATGTGACAAAGAATGTGTTCCTATTCTATGTTTTATCATCCATTCCATGACCCTAAAAAAATATGTTCAGACGATAGCAAAGGTAAGTGTATAACTATAGTTTTGATTATTAAAAATTATACATTTATATTATTTAATAAAAACAAAGGGTGCAGAAAATAAAAAAAATGAATAAAATATGTATGGCTCAACTAATGTTTGAAGGAGTGAACCATCCCAAAAAAGAAGCGGGGAAGGTAACTTACAAGATTAGTCGTCTTGCCCAAGATTTAGAAAAACGAAAGGCGAAAATTATAGATCAGCTGCAGCCCACCAAAAAAATGTGCCTTTTATATAAATGTGATTCTATTTATTATAAGTTATAATTTATTACAGAATTTAATATTTTTTTGTTATTTATGTATTTTATAACAGTTATGGTTACTTGTTAAATTTAATTCAATAAAAATTTATAATTTCAAGTTATCTCTATGTATTTTAAATTCAAATTTAGATCTTTTATCCCAAAAAAATGTATACCTCCATTTTATAGTTATTTCGGTAATTAATTTGGTCTATATTTGGTCGTTTATTTTTTATTATTAGTCTCTTAAGTCACTATTTCTCGCAACAAGGACTGCTGGGAGCCCTGACGGACGTGGAAATTTTTTTTTTAGCTTAACCACTATAATGATCGGATACCTTGTTCATTTAGCTTTAATTTGCTTTTTTATACACCCTGATACGCCCACTTGTCGCCGAGATATCGGTCTTCAAATGGAAAAGGATCCTTTTGTCTTTGATTATCGATATCTCAGCAACCAATGATCGCACAGAAATTTAATGGTGGGTTTCAAGAACTTGAATAAATTCTCCTTAACGACTGGCCATCGCTTTTCCGAAAAAAAATTTTTTTCTTTTCGTCACATGAATTTGAAAATGCAACAAAAAAGGGCTTTTGGTGGTTTTTTGGAAAATCAAGCGCTGGATCGAAAATATTGAGGAAACCACTAATGTTAAGTGTGCCTTCTACAGTTCAATATGTCCACAAAAACCCTACAAAAAACCAAATTAATCCAGCCAGCCGTTTTTTTGTTTCACTCGATCGAATTTTTGAAAAAATTAAAGGATCACGTTTTTTGCTCATAATTTTTAAAAATGAGAAAAAAAATTCTTTTAGCGCAAAGGGATTATTTTTGGAAAAAAACTGTTGAGTTAAGCGATCTGCTAAGGATTCACGAAAAGTAAAAAAAAACAATCGCCGAAAAGCGTATGAAAAAGATCGAAATTCGATTGGGGGTATTAACTTTTTTTTTAATTTAATTAAAAGGAGATCAGTAGAATCAAGGAATACAGCGGCGGAAACGCGATAAAAATGATTGGGCGATGGTTTTTTGAATTTCCTTAACTTGTTAAGAAATTTTTTTTTTTTTGAAATTTTTTTTCGAAAAAAATTTTTCTTTTTGAAATTTTTTTATATTTTTGAATTTTTTTTTTAATTTAAGCACTTTCTGGAACAAAAATGCGGGAAAAGCTCGTAAAAACCATTTTTTTCCTCATTTTTTAAAATTATGAGCTTTTCAGAGCAAAAAACGTGATCCTTTAATTTTTTCAAAAATTCGATCGAGTGAAACAAAAAAACGGCTGGCTGGATTAATTTGGTTTTTTGTAGGGTTTTTGTGGACATATTGAACTGTAGAAGGCACACTTAACATTAGTGGTTTCCTCAATATTTTCGATCCAGCGCTTGATTTTCCGAAAAACCACCAAAAGCCCTTTTTTTGTTGCATTTTCAAATTCATGTGACAAAAAGAAAAAATTTTTTTTTCGGAAAACCGATGGCCAGTCGTTAAGGAGAATTTATTGAAGTTCTTGAAACCCACCATTAAATTTCTGTGCGATCATTGGTTGCTGAGATATCGATAATCAAAGACAAAAGGATCCTTTTCCATTTGAAGACCGATATCTCGGCGAGAAGTGGGCGTATCAGGGTGTATAAAAAAGCAAATTAAAGCTAAATGAACAAGGTATTCGATCATTATAGTGGTTAAGCTAAAAAAAAAATTTCCACGTCCGTAGACCAAAAAAAAAAACTAAAAAAATTTTGAAAATTTTTTTGTTGCTGGTTTTTCTACGATTACTCAAAAACCGCGGAGGGTACAAAATTTTAAAGTTCGAATTCAAAAACTAGACACTTCGATCTACAATTTCCTTTTTTTTGATTTCCTGTACGACCATTTCTCTCGAAGTTACGGCCTGTTGAAAACTGCCCAAAAATTTGGAATTTTTTTTTGATCCCTTAATTTTTTCCATTAGTGTATATATATGAGTAGTTACACACAAAGATAATGTATTATCTTTGGTTACACATACAGTGTGACCCATTTGTTTTCGACTCACCCCTGTAAAATCTTTATTTATTGTGCGATTTGAACAGGATTTGTTTTAAAGTGTAGATCTTGATAAACTGTATTTTTGAAGCAAAAAACGCCATAATAGTACAAAATACAAGGCCTACTATGTCAGTTTTTAAGAGTAAATTTTTAAGAATGCATATTAGGGATTTTTTTAAACAAAATCTAAGCACGGCATTGGATTCACCACCTCTCAAATGACCCTATCGAGGGGTCAACCACTAGCCAGATATTTGTACACGTATTGCCGAACTGCCTATACTGCCAATTACTGCCTTTACTGCCTACTTACTGCCTATACTGCTTATATTGCTTATACTGCCTTTACTGCCTACTTACTGCTTATACTGCCTACTTATTGCTCTTACTGCCTATACTGCCTACTTACTGCCTAGTTACTTTCAACATTGCCTTTACTGCCCACACACGGTCCATAGTTTTACATATATGTATATTAGGGTGAGCCAAAAAAACTAACCTATCGGATTTATGGGTTAAAATGAACCTACATACCGAGCAAAAAATTTCCCTGCAAGGCAAAATTTTTTGCTCAATTTTAAAAGGTGTCGGTGAGCAATGCTCACTGAGCATTCTAAGTTTTCCATTGAAATAACACGTAAAAAAATCTTTTTTCATTAAAAAGACTATAACTTTTGCAGCGGATTCTTGTAGAGCATAAAATTTCCCAAAAAATCTATACCAGGATTATTTTTTTTAATTCAAAAATTCGTATGTTTGAAAGCTTTGAAAAGTGTAAAAAATCACTACAAACTGCAGTTTTAGTGATTTTTTACACTTTTCAAAGCTTTCAAACATACGAATTTTTGAATTAAAAAAAATAATCATGGTATAGATTCTTTGGGAAATTTTATGCTCTACAAGAATCCGCGACGTAAAAAATTTTATCTCAAACGGTTCAAAAGTTATAGTCTTTTTAATGAAAAAAGATTTTTTTACGTGTTATTTCAATGGAAAACTTAGAATGCTCACCGACACCTTTTAAAATTGAGCAAAAAATTTTGCCTTGCAGGGAAATTTTTTGCTCGGTATGTAGGTTCATTTTAACCCATAAATCCGATAGGTTAGTTTTTTTGGCTCTAATGTATATTATGTCTTTACTTGTGAATTTTGAATGTATGTTGCAAAATTAAAACTGAGATACCTCGGAACGAGCATCGGAAGATACCAGAACGTACTCTCTTAAAATTGTACTATTTGAAATAGTACCAGCATTTTTTACTAATAAAATAGTCGTTTTCACTTTTAAATAGTTATTTTTTACTACGTAAAAAGTTAAAGTTTGACTAATTTAAGGTTAGTCACCATCTTTGACTATTTCTGAGAGTTAAAAGTAACTAATTTCTTTAATCGTTTGCGGCCAACAAAGTATTATTTGAATTAAATGCATGCCTATAGGCTCCATGGTTAAATGGCCCATAAAAACAAACAATGATGCAAAAAGTTTAGCTCAAAACAGCAACACAAATAATATATTCAACTTTAAAATATTATGAACAATATTTATTGACAAATAAAATTAATTTTTATAAGAGCGGCTGATAGCCACATTGGTTATGACAACAACTTGACAAGCTTGACAAGTGACAGGCCTGAGTTCAATACCCGGCTTTTTCGCTATGACAATTTGTCAAATATAACTTATAATTAGTTATTTTTGACTGATTCATTTTCAGAGAGTACGTTAGGTGACACTTTTATGCTAAATATTACCAAATTACTGCCGATACTGCCCATGTACTGCCGAAGTACTGCATGTACTGCCGAAGTACTGCTCCCGTACTGCCTATATTGCCTATTTACAGCTGCATACTGCCGTCACTGCCTTTGTACTGCATAAAATTTGTGCACGTATTGCCGACAGTGGTTGACCCCTCGGACCCTATACTAAATTTTATTGAAAAATTTTAAGAAAAAAAAAATGCACAATAATAATTAAGTACAACAATTTATTTTGTCAGGTTATCCATGAAAAAAGATTGAAATAAAATTAAACTATAAAATTAAACTATTATAATAGTAACATGGTAGGTACTATTACTTTCAATAAATGTAAAATATCGTACGTACACCAAACTTAGTTGGGAAAAAGTTTACTAATTTCTTTCCCAAACCATGGTTCTCTGGGTAGCAAAACTTTCTGCAAAGTTTATTAATAACAAAGATTATTATTTGTTTATAATGAACAAGGGTTATTTTATTCATAATTTAATGCACACAATATGGATGTTTCTACTGTTTAACATTTAAAATCCTTTTTGAAAAGACTTAAAAATTAAAAAGGTTTTTTTGTAAGCTTCATTTTTATTTTTATTAAATATATTGTTCGCTTACATATTCACAATAAATTTCTGTAATGTACCTACCATTTCTAAAACTTAATATTGTCTTTTATAAAAAATATTCTGATTTCAGTTATGGTTATGACTGGAGAATAGAAGAAGCACAAAAAAACTTACTTAGAACACATACCACTGCAGTTAGTGCTAGAATGCTCTATCAAATCGCTCAGCAAGAATCCTTTACGCCAACTAAACTTTTCAGTATCGACAAAGTTTTCCGGAATGAAACGCTCGACGCTACGCATTTAGCTGAATTTCACCAAGTTGAAGGAGTTATAGCTGACTATAACCTTACTTTAGGCGACCTTATTGGTGTGTTTACAGAGTTCTTTAAAAAATTGGGAATTACAGAATTGGAATTTAAGCCTGCTTATAACCCTTACACTGAGCCCAGTATGGAAATATTTTGTTTCCATCCAGGATTGGAAAAATGGATTGAAATCGGCAATTCGGGTATATTTAGACCTGAAATGTTGCTTCCCATGGGTTTGCCTGAGGATGTTTGTGTGCTGGCCTGGGGATTGTCGTTAGAAAGGCCCACGATGATAAAATATGGTTTTAATAATATCAGGGACTTGGTTGGACCAAAAGTTGATATAGACATGGTTCAAAAAAGTCCAATATGTCGCTTGGATAAATCCGCAAAGAAGTAACAACTTATCATTAATTTATTTTTTGTTGTAACAAACGCTTTAATAAATGTTTTCGTTAAAACAGATTTTAAATCAAACATACTTTTATAGTAATATAATTTTATTTACATCAAATTATGGCAGTTATTTGGCATAAAATATTAATAGCTTTATTTATGGATTAGTTTTGAATGTTGGATTACTTAAGTGATCCATGAACCAAGCTATTAATAAAATAATGTTTAAAAAATACATCCAGTACATAAAATATAAATAAACATGTTATTAAATATTCTGTGAGATAAATATAAATATTTCTAATATTATATTATAATTAATTAAATAAAATACACAACTAAAACTAAGAATTATTTACAAATAAAATCTAAAAATTAACAGGAACCTTTTCATGTGTAGTTTAAATAGTTTCATAAAATCTCAAAACACTAGGTTTTTCTCATAAAAAAGTTAAAAACATTTGTATATGAGAACTAGGTATACTATAACTCCCAATATTGCTTTTACATTTATTTACAAAAATATTTGTGAAAATTACAAGTTATTAATTACGACTTATTTAATTAAAGATGTTTACATTTTTAATATAAAAAACATATTTTTTAAATTACTTTATTAAACGTACAAAAAAAATTATGTTTCTTACAAGTTAGCTAGTTTTCTTGCTTTGTTACTTAGATCCTTTAAAATTCACAATTCTTATTTAGAATACTTAACAAAAGTGTATTGATTTAATTCATATTGGCATCCCATGACGTTGAAATGACGCCGGCTGATGTTTAAATGACGTCAGTGTGCTACCTGGGGTAATTGCTCAAAAAATAAAAAAAATACCCACACAAGGTGTTTTTTTGTGATTTAATTTAACTTATTATTTATTCTTACATACATACTATAAACATGGGGTGAACTGGTATGGAATCGAAGTCATCCCATGTTGTCAGTACACAAGAATAGTCACTAAAAATTCAATTATTGGGATGCGTCACTATCAATAGTGACGCATCTCCAATTCCACAGGTATAATCGAGGTTAAAATTATTATTTGGCACATAAAACTTTATTTTGAGTACTTTGTCCGTGCCACTTAATTTAAAATTAACTCACGAAATGATTTCTTTCTCACGCCCTGAGCTTAGGCGATACACAAATGAGCCATATGAATGAGAAATCACGGCGTGAGGTAAACTAAAATCTGAAATGTTGCTGTGGGGTATATATATAGAATAAAAACGGCATATACCCTTTATAAACAGAACACTTGCATTTTGTCTAAAATTTAAATCTTGTAGGAACTTCATATTGATTAAATCTACAAATTGTTATTCTAAGGCGTCATGCAATTTTACCGGCTGAGTTTATTTATTGCAGTAGTGAACTGTATTAACGGTAATGCTAAATTAGCTGATGATTTCATATTACCAGGTCTATTCCACATATGCCTATTTTACTCCAATAATTGAAGGGGCTAGTAAATAAAGGTGTTACCTAACATTTTCAAGCTAAGCAAAAATGTGGTAACCTTTATTATTTCGTTACTTATTTACCACCTTTTTGAATAACCAATCCCTCAACCCCCAATTATTATTATACACTAATTTTGGTTTCTATTTCTTGTGTATCGTTGAAATGTGATTGATTTCGTTTCTTTTTGTCGAGCATTTTATAAAATTCAGCACCAATTATCTAAAATACCTCTTATATTTCATATAAAAATCTTGCAGTGTTTGTAATGACCCTAAAGTACTGCCTTTAGTACCTAAACACATGTTTTTTTGAGCAACATCAGAAACTTGGTCACAAACTTCTGAATGAAAAACGTGTATCAGCCCAGGATCAGTACTTCTGACAATTTTGAGGTTTGAATTGACAACATCATCAAAAAAATTCACATCTTCATATCCCCAACCCGATATTTTCAAATTAAACCCACCTAAGGTTACATAGTCATTTTTGTAAATACTAACAATACCAAATCCAAATTGTCGCCAAAACCCATTGCGTTGGTTGATTAAATTTGAATCAAAATAGGAGTAAGCTTTATTTATATATGTTATATTCCAAAAAGTTGGGTCATAAAGACTGAATACTATAGGAAAATAGACGGTCTTATTTTTAACAGTATTAAACCGTATTCTCTGTAAAGTATTTCTGTCAAAAATCATGTCGACATCAATAAATAACATCAAGTCGTCATTTTTCAATTCTTGAACGCCATATTGCAAAGCTTTACCACGTGAAAAATCGTCATTTCTGTACACTACGTTCACCACGCTATAGCTAAACTTTTTTTGCACTTGTTCTATAAGATATTTACTACTGACAAAGTCATTAATTAAATTATTTTTTTTATACAATATAACAATAAGTTTGGTTCTTTCTTTCATATTTAGACAAATTTCTTCATACATATTTAAAAATCTTCTAAAACTTTCGTATCTTCCGCTAATGGGTAAAATAAAATTAATTACAGGCTCTTCTTGGTTGATAAGGTTAAATAGGGGTGGAAAATTTCTACCTATTTTCGATATTAAATGATGCACCAATTTTTTGTGAACCGGTAAATTTTGTTGTGTATTTTCATCAAAAAAGGTATCCACAATTTTGTTTTGGTTTACTTCTCTTATCACAATGTCTAAAACAATATTTATATTAATACATAATCAAAATTAAAGTTTATTTTGTACCAGAAAATGTTTGTTGGACATAAGCATGTCTTCTCACTTGAACTGTCATTTTATGTCCTCTATATTTTTTATATACCAACAAGAGATCTAAGATAAGATCCACTCCATGTATAGGATCCAATCTCCAGTAACCATATAAAATTTCTTTAAAATCTATAATTCTGCCTCTTTGTTTTGAGTAGGAATTTATTATATCCATCATCTAAAAAATGCATTACTCTTACATTATAGGTTCATTACACCCTCATTTAAATGCAATTAACAATTTTAAAATACAACTAGATTCTATTTTAAACTCACTTCTCTTGTTACATCTCCTAGTCCTTCTTTCAAAGAAGAACCCATTCTCTTTTTTGGATTGGCGTCTTTATGAGAATATAATGTTTTTGAAATTAATTCCCAAACTAATACGTCTTGGAGATTTTGGGGTGTATATCTGTTGAGACTGGTTGGGGTTCCTAAAATATATTTGTTAAAATTGTTTACACTACTAAATTAAACATACGCTATTACCTAAGATGTTAGTGTCGCCAAGATATTCATCATTGCCGCGTTTGCTAGGGTACAGTGGTAAATTTTTAACCAATATAACTTTGTGAAGTCTATCCTTAGAATAACCAAGTTGTTCCATTGAAACAGCTATATCTCGATGTAAATATATACCATCTTGGTGATTTGTTTGAATTTTTAAGCCCTAAAAGTGGTATTAAAATATTTAGAGAATAAATTTAAAAAAATCGTAGGTAATTTTTGTAGCACCGTGTAGATAATATTGGATTTTAATTAACACAATTTTGTTTCTTGTTTAAAAATTAAATGCTTGGTCAATTAATAAAAACCCTATTATTATTATTATATTTCCTATAAAACAAAAATTATTTACAAATATTATTAAATTATGTTATTAAAGCTCGTCGGTCGCCAGCTTTTTTTAAGCACTCTGTATAAATTCTATAGTCCGGGAGGCAGTGAAGATTTTTATCTTCTTATTTTCCCAGTTCGTGAATTTCATTAAGTTTGTTCAAATGGTGACACAAAACGACAATTTGTGTGTCTCGCTAAAATTTTCGGATGGGTTCACTAGATGAGCCAAAAAGTCAAGTCCACTTATTTTCCCAGTTATAAATATTTCACATTAATTAAAGTGAGTCATTTTATTAATGGAAATAACAGTCTGGCACATCCCAAGTGAAGGAAAGTCAGTCTGGCTGAAAATTTGCGGACGCCAAAATTTGACCGGTTTTTGAAATACGTAGCCCTTATTTTCCCATGCTTAAAATTTAACCCATTATTTGGTACTGTCATAAACTATAATCAAAATTAAGTCTGGCTGATTTATGAAATTGGCAAATTGTTCTGGCGGCATCTTGAAAATCGTAAGAATTACAAAAATGTTGCTCTTATTTTCCCGGATTTGAAAATTTGTCACATGATAAATAATACTATAATTTCGTAGAAAATACACGTCTGGCTGTTATTTACAATCACGAAAGCCCCGCCAGACTTTTCTCGTATCTCTGATAGTTACAAAGTTATTCGCGAATAAAGTTTTTTGGTGGCGGACGGACTGACATTTTTTTTTTGCTTTACACAAATTATTTCCTTATCATACATTATGAAAAGTAAAAACATGTAGAGATGACAACAATCGCCTGTATAATTGAACATGCCGAATTTAGCGCGCCTGTGGAGGGTTGGACGAGTCTGGCAAGGCTTTCGGAGTGTTCCACATTAGCCAGACTATATTTGCAGCTGTAATTATAATACTATATACTATATATTATACAGGGTGGTCCAGTTTGAGATACATTAATTTTAGGAGGTGATAGAGAATCAAAAATGAAGGGGACTTTTCTAATAAAATATTTTTCAAAAGTGCCTAATAAGGAAGCTATAGCCCTTCAAAGTGGGAAATAAATAATCGTTTTTTTTAGCATAACTTTTGAAATGTTTAAACGATTTGGTTTAAATTTTAAGCAAAGTTTGATAAAATAAGTCTTGTTCGACCAGTGATAACGCGTTTTATCAAAATAATTCAGGGGCGTAGATGATGGGGGGAAGCTCCCCTTTTTCCCTCCCCATTTTTCAACCCCTTGCTATTTTTATAAATTGTTTATATTTTTGAATTCAACATTAAATTTGAACAAAAAAGTTACCCCTGGAAAATTGTGACTAAAGACTTTGTTTTCGAGATATTCGAGTTTGAAGTTTTTAAAACATGTCGAAAATGTAGAATTCATGTTTTTGAAATGTAATATTTTTGCCCATTGCATGCCATGTAAAGCAATTTGAAATATGTAGGTAGTCAAATATATTTTTCTTCTGCGATATTCTCTAACGGCCGCTGCGGCATTTCCATTGCAGAATCCATAAACAAAATGTATGTCTGCAGACACGGCAATGCTGAAGAAATTTGGCATTCTTCGTAAAGATATTTGACAAAATCAATCGGACAAACAGAAAATAAGTTTACCAAATATGCCTAAATGACATTTAGTGGAACATTTCGAGGCTTGACGTAAGGCTATTTGATCACTTTTCCTCAAAACTTTTTCCAAAATTTTAAGCCGAATTTGAAAATATGAAACAAACCTTTAAAAATCTGAATTGATTCCGAGAAGTATTTTAAGATACTTACGAAAGAAAAATAAATTATCTACCTACTCAAAGTTATCCCTGCGAAATATCAAAAATCTATTAAAATCCGAAAGAGTAAGGAGTGCCTTTTAAAACCTGCTATTTTTGTTTGCATCAAATAAATAACGAAATTTAGATACGTTAAAAAAATACTTGAATTGTGCATTTTCGATAAAATTAAAACACGAATATCTCAAAAACAAAGTCTTCAGTCACAGTTTTCCAGGGGTAACTTTTTTGTTCAAATTTAATTTTGAATTCAAAAATATAAACAATTTATAAAAATAGCAAGGATTTGAAAAATGGGGAGGGAAAAAGGGGAGCTTCCCCCATCATCTACGCCCCTGAATTATTTTGATAAAAAGCGTTATCACTGGTCGAACAAGACTTATTTTATCAAACTTTGGTTAAAATTTAAACCAAATCGTTTAAACGGTTCAAAAGTTATGCTAAAAAAACTATTATTTATTTCCCACTTTGAAGAGCTATAGCTTCCTTATTAGGCACTTTTGAAAAATATTTTATTAGGAAAGTCCCCTTCATTTTTGATTCTCTATCACCTCCTAAAATTAATGCATCTCAAACTGGACCACCCTGTATACTATCATCTCACAAAATTTTTAGGACTGCGAAAATAAGGGCAATGGTTTTGATAATTTTTCCACCTGCCAGACATATTACCCATACTCACAGATTAGCCAGACTATTTTTTTTCTTAAGTTTACTATACCTCTCACTAATGGAATTATTTTTATCACTGGAAAAAAAAGTGCAATATATTTGTACTTTATAACGCATTTTCCGCCTTAACCCATCGGAAACCCCCCCCCTAAATATATATAAATTTTGCTCAGAATAACAAACCCAATAATTGTATCGGTGTTTGCCGACTGGGAAAATAAGTACCTACCGAAAATCTTCACTGCCTCCCGGACTACTAGCAAATATTTTTTAAAAACATTTGACCTTAATTTGTGAACACAGAATGTTTTTCCAAAATCTTTGCTACAATTTATACAGAATGCTTAAAAAAATGTTTTTTTCCAAATTTGACCTTATTTTTTTACAATCCTATATAAAATTTTATTAATAAATATCGTTTTTGGAGGTTTTAGGGTATGCCAAATGCAGAAACGCTCTCTGTTTTTAAATTTTAAAAATGCCTAATAACTTTTGACGTTTTTGGAGACCTTCTATTAATCATAGAGGGCCATGGAAATGGCATATGAAAATGTTTTTTTCTTCAAAAGATAGAGAGCTTTTCGAGTACCTACGGTAAATTCAATTAATATAATATGAGGACCCTAGAAGCCAAGGGGTATAAGTAAATTTTGTTTAGTTTTGAGATAATCATGCATGTTTAAAGTAAAAAACACTTGGAGTCAAAATTGTTTGTTGTTTTATGACTTTGTTTTTCAAGATATATCTAAGCTTAGAATTCAGTTATATCTCTTGGTATCAATTGGTACTTAAGTAAAATGTACCATTTACTATCTTCTTCTGTACATAACTAATTTTTTTTATAAATGTTACTTGTATCCTTGGCTTCTAGGGTCCTCATATATATTATATATTGTACGACTAGTGGAAAAAAGCAGATTCCTCAAGCGTAACGTTTACGAGTGGATTCTCATCTTTTGACCACCCTTGCGGCCTTGAGTTTACGGTGAATTCACCGTTTGCGTGAATTCACCGTGAATACACTGTTTATGTGCAGTGAATATACCGTCCATTTGTGACATTTGTAGACGGTAATTCAACGGTGAACTCACGCTGTTTTTGCGATAAATTCACGGTGATTTCACGGTAAATTCACGGTGAACTCAAATTTGCAAAATCACCGCAAATTTCTCTGTCAAAGTACCGTAAATTTATCGTGAAATCACCGTGAATTCACCGTAAAAGGGCTGTGAGTTTACTGTGAAAACACCGTAAATTGACTGTGAAAACACCGCAAATTCACGGTAATCTCAAGGTTGCAAGTACCACGTGGTAATGTAAATTATAAATTATTTTAATTGTTTGTAAATGGTTGTTTACTTTTTAATAAATAGTAATTTTGTTGCTAATAGACGGTATTAATAATTAAATAAAAAAATAATAATAAATATTAAGATTTTTTTATTTATGAACATTATTAAATAAATAATTTGTTTATACTTAAATATTGATGAAGCGCATTTATTTTACAAAAACTAAATTCACAAGTTCAACAGTAAAATTTAAAGGGTTTATAAATTTACCTGCCTACTTAAACATTATATTGTTATTCTGGAAGTTATTATAGTTATAACTACCAGTACATATTTAATAAACGACGACATTGAAAAGCCAAGTCCGTAATGGTTCCATTGGCCTTGAGTTCACGGTTTATTCACGGTGAATTCACCGTGAATTCACGGTAAATAAACCGTGAACTCAAGGCCGCAAGGGCAATAGTCGCACACAATATTTTATTGAACTACCTACCAAAAAAATTAAAAGCCAATTTTATTTGATATATTATGTAAAATCTGACAGCTGTCAAGTCACTTCTGCCCATGGGCGAAATGGCCCACAGGTTAAATAAAGTGGGTGTTAAATAAACAATTTTATTTAACATCCATTTTATTTCATAACTTTAACCAGTGGGCGAAAATTTACTTCGCTCACGGCCTGAAGTTAGTTTTAAGTTAAAATTGGAACAAAGTGAGGTTAAAACTGCCTGACAGTCATCAGATAAAATTGGTTTTAAATTTCTTAGGGTAGTTGAATAATATATTGTGTGCGACTACTGGTCAAGAGAGCAAATTCACTAATCGCACAATATACTATTACGAGCGCGTAAGATGATAAAACGTGCCGGGAGTTGACACACGCGCGGCTGCTCTTTTATAATTTTAGTTGAACTACAAGTGGCTCCATCTTTTTTAGACGGAATTCGACTTTTAAGGGTACAATGTGCCTCTCAATTTAATTTCAGATTTTTTCGTCCAGAACATGAATACATTTTTATCTTTAAATAATTGCTTTAACAAAATAAAAAAACAAAAATTAATAATTATATTTATTAATTTAATAAACTAATTAATTATCTTTCATTTAATCACGGTTTCGTCAAAATAGGTCGATACATTCAAAAGTTATGCAACCTTTTTAAAAAAGTGACCTCTTGATTCAATTGCTTATAAATTAATAGAAACCTATCGCCACAGGCAATTAGATTATTTAAACAAAAAATATATCATGCTGATTTCACGAAGGGTCAAAACCTTTATTGTTAACAAAAATACCACGTGTTTCAAATACCTACATGTATAACCTAAATACGTATCATTAATAAAAAAAATCTGGCGCCTCGTGCTTTATTTTTAATTTAAAAAACTAAGGGAGGATTCACCTTTTTTGTTATTTATCATTTTGTCAGATGTTAAAAACACCCTGTAAAAGAATTTTAATAGTATTATTTATTGTAAGAGGTAAAAATAAGTTATATTTATTTATATATTATGTGTATTATAAACAATCAAAACCTTTTCAATTTTATGTCATAAAAAATATTTAATAAAAAATTATATATTTATTTTTGCCGTTTACAAAAAATATTTATATTATATATAAATAAAATTATCAATAATGGAATAAAAATTTAATTAACTAAGGTACCTTTATATAACCATGTAATTTGTACATGTATTCAGGGCGTTTGACAGGATGCATAGTGATAGCCCTGTGGACCTCCTTTTGCTTTAAGTCTCCTGTAAAGGCATCTACTCCGCTTTGGTTATGGTAGAAGATAGTCTGCATCTATTTATTTAAAAAAAATGGTCATAAATTGCTCTTATTACCTATTAAGTACGTTGTCTAACAAACATCAAATTATCTTTCATTTTACATAGTGGATACATTAAGTATGTGTAATATAAATAACATCAATATAAGAGCACTTTTATTAATTCTTGTGTAACTTAAGTTCATTGAATTTTATTATTATTTATAGCGTTTTCATATAGTTAAATTTATCCCATAATAATATCGTTTATTAAGTATTCTAATTTGACTATGAATAATATTAAGTCGGAAAAAGTCAGAATAAGTCTTAGTAAGTCAGACTAATAGCAAGACTTGGGAGTCTTTTGGAAGAGTTATTAAGACTTAAAAAGACCTTTAGCAGAGAAATGGTATGTAGGTACCTATAGCGATAAAAATAAATATGCTGAGGATGTTAAGGATATTAAAACTTTTAATTCATTAAAAAAAATTAATTACCTAATTAATTAAAAAAAAATTCAATAAATAATCTGTATGTTTTGAACATTAGTATTGTTTATTTAATACTAAGTAAATAATAAAGCAATAAAATATTGAATTATTGTGCTTGTAGTTGCGAAATAAGACCTTGGTTATCAGGTTATATAAGTGCCGGATCTAGGGTCATCGGAGCCAGTGACAAATTTTGCACCCGATAGTATACTATTATAGATAACACAGTGCAGCACAAAATTTTAAACCAGATTTAATTGTTTTTTCCTGAAAGTATACATAGTTAATAGTAAAACCCTTGCTGGGTTTATAAAAGTTAGCTCGAACTTTTTTCTATGGTCTTATGAACTTTTGACTTTTAGATTACTAATTGTATTGGATCTCCATGATTAAATGGCATAGACGGATGTTTTAAAATGTCAAAGAATTGCTAATCCAACTACACTCATATTCGAGAAATGTCAAAAACAAAATGAGTCGTCCCTATTTAAAAACTCTTTAATAGTTTACTTTTAACAGTGTCTATGGAAAGCCTATTTCGTTCTTGGTTTCAATGTAAAACTAACACACGCATTATGACCAGGAACTGTATATAAATATTAGCTCATCAAAAATAAATTTTTTCTTTCCAGAACGTATAATTTTGTAGTTTAGTGCTGAAGAAATACAATAGGTACTTTTTCAAAACAATTATCAATCATGGATATACCTTTTTTTGGTAAATAGGATATGGATTTTTCAACTTCTTTCCATTCAGGTCTCTTATTTAACTAAATGAATTTAAATTCATCCATAAAAAAAATATTAAATTTGGAGAAAGAAGCACTCCACTGTCGTAAATATTCCAATACTGTTTTACAATAATCCTTAATTTCCCGGACAACATTCGTGATATTCATACGAACATCATGTCGTGATTTTCATAAATTTTATTCATACTGATATCATACGGAAGTCACCGCGTGATAAATGAAAATCATACGAACGTCACGTCGTGATTTTCACAAATTTTATTCATATGGACATCATCCGGATGTCACTGCGTGAGAAATGAAAATCATGTCGTGATTTTTTATGTCATCGCTGTTTGCGATTGACCGATGGCACAAAAAATCATGTCGTGATTTTTTATGCCAACGGTGTTTGGATAATCATTTTTGCGCTACGTACGTAGCGCAAAAATGATTATCCAAACGATTATCCAAATGATTATCCAAACAACGTTCGTACACTAAGAGAAAAATTATGTTGAATCAACAGTTTTTGCGGTTAAATACATTTAATATTTTTTTGGATTTAAATTAACTATATATAGTTAAATTAAATCCAAGAAAATATTGAATTTTAAACTGTTTATTCAATTGTTAACATACTCTTTCTTTCAATGTACGAATGTGTCGCAAAAATGAATATCCAAACACCGATGGCATAAAAAATCACGTCGTGATTTTTTATGACCAAACACCGATGTCATAAAAAATCATGTCGTGATTTTTTATGACATTGGTTTTTGGATATTTATTTTTGCGCCACATTCGTACATTGTTAGAAAAAGTATACCTACATATATATTGAATCAACAGTTTTTGTGGTTAAATACATTCAATATTTTTTTGGATTAAAATTATTAGTTAATTTACATCCAAGAAAATATTAAATGTATTTGACCGCAAAAACTGGTAATTCAATTGTTAACATACTTTTTCTTTCAATGTACGAATGTGGCGCAAAAATAAATATCCAAACATGTCGGTGCACCGATGGCATAAACAATCATGTCGTGATTTTTTATGCCCAAACACCGATAGCATAAAAAATCATGTCGTGATTTTTTAGGCCATCGGTCAATCGCAAACAGTGATGGCATAAAAAATCACAACATGATTTTCATTTCTCACGCAGTGACATCCGGATGATGTCCGTATGAATAAAATTTGTGAAAATCACGACGTGACGTTCGTATGATTTTCATTTATCACGCGGTGACTTCCGTATAATATCAGTATGAATAAAATTTGTGAAAATCACGACATGATGTTCGTATGAATATTAAGAATATTCAACATAATATGTTGTCCGGGTTCAATTAAAAAAGATATTCCAATGTTTAACAAAACGTTCACGTTTTCTTAAACATTGTAATATATTTTTTAATTGAAGCCGGACAACATTCGTGATATTCAAACAAAGTTTTATAAATTTTAACGGTGTAATGTGAATAACAAACTAGGTTTTAAATTCGCAGTTCGCAGGGCTCATACGCATGCGCAAATTTTGCAAATATCACACCGTGAGTTCTAAATGATATCACTGTGATGAAGCATGTGTATGCACTCAGGATATCACGGCGTGATAAAAAATACGTTGTGATATCATCATTACTTCACCAGGAAATCCCGATTGTTGTCCGGGTTCCTCGTAACATATCTTTATATTACTTTTTATTTTTTCGTACCCCATTTTCATCTGAATGGATTATGTAAAATCTGAAAAACACTTTTTTTAATTTTCTTAATTTGTTTTTTAAACAAAAATAATTGTCTGTGCAAAATAAAATACACTTTAAAAAGAGGATTAGAAAAGAAGTCAACCAACACTTTGGGTGGCTATTGTTCGGCAAGAACTTTTTTTACTGGTTGCCACATTTTGCCTCATGCGTTTAATGGGGCCGTTCATTAATTACGTGAGGTGTTTAGGGGGGGGGGTCGAGCCAAACCTCACCAAATCTCACGTGGGGGGAGGGGGGGTCTCGGCAAATATCACGTAATTTTTTTTCCGAAAGAAAGAGTGTAAAATTGCGAGAAAACTGGGTTAAATTAAGTAAACAATTATAAGCAAATTGTTTTTTTTAATAAATCTAATGGAATCAAGCACAGATTAACTTATTTACATTAAAACCATGCATTTTAAAAATCTCACGTGAGATTAAGGGGGGGGGGAGAGGGGGTCGAGCAAAATCTTACGAAATCTCACCAAGGGGAGGGGGGGTCGAAAAATCGCCAAAATTAATTGTCTCACGTAATTAATGAACGGCCCCTAATAGCTGATAGTGAATAAAATGGGACATTTAAATCCCAAACCGGGACAAAGCCCTTGAAACTATTGACATGTCCCGGTACACCGGGACATACGGAAACCCTACTGTAGTCAGGACGCGTCGGCCGCGCGATCCTATTCATATTCAGTATAGGTATTCTTCTGTTTATTTATCTAAACTCAGATATGTTTGGTAATTAAAACTCGATACGTCTTGTTTTAAATAAAAGATCAATTTTTTTACGTTTTTTTGATAAAAAAAGTAACTTTTTCTAATCTTCTTTATCTTCATCAATTATCAAAAATGAAATAAGTTGTTGCTGTTTTTTATTTAAGTTTACTTAACGACCATGTGCACTGTGTATGTCAAAAAACGCGGATCGCAGACGCTTTAACTAAAACACCTTTATTTAACGGCCAGTCGTTACCTCCAGCGGTTACCGGCAAACGCTACCGCCAGACGCCCAAGCGAAACCGTACCTTTAAGCCGGCCACATACATTGTTGCCAATTTGGTGATTTTTCGTTAGTTCTAGGGATTTTTCACGACTGTCGGTTTACTATACTTAGTCCTGGAGCATAAAGCAATAAAATATTCTCCGTGGGATTTGTTATGAAGGGATGATGGGACTATATGGGAATCCCATAATGGGATAGCTTTTTTATACCTTTTTGGGTTGTGTGGTACCGGGTGTTTACCTTGAAAATATGTCTGGTGGTGTTTATGGCATTTCTAATAAAAAATGTCCACCATTTTCGACATTCATTCATAAAATGCCAAATAATTAATTTTATTGTGCCCTTTAACATTTGAAATATATTTAACATTTTTTGATTGTCATATGACAGTGTATCGAAACAATTGTATAATTTTATGGGCCGTCAAATTTGATAGCCATCAATTTTTTTAGCCTCTAGCCACAGTGACTTTTTTGAAATAAAACTGTTTTAGCACTATTTAAGTAGTTTCATTGGTTGCTTATAAATTAAGTGTGCCTTGACTTTATCAATTTATGTTTACATTTGTTTTTCTTAATTTAAGGTATGTTTTAAATTTGATTTTATATAGTATTTTATTGAATTTAAAAGCATTTTTAATTTCTAAATACTTAATTTTAACAGTTTTCTTTTAAAATATTTACTATTACCTATTTAATTACCATTTTCTGTTAATTATAATTTATTACACTGTTTTACAAGGAAAAATAGAAACTTTATTTTAAATTTTTAGGGTGATTTTGGTGCTCTAAACACAAAAAACTTAATCATTTTTTTCTTATTTGGGCCATCCAATGGTAAAAACATCGTTTTAATCGAATCAAAAATATATTTTTGATTCGATTAAAACGATGCTATAGCTGAGTTACAGCTCACAAAAGTTTAAATTTCTTGCAAAATGGCTCCAAATCGATCCATGCAAAATATAAAAATATAACAATATGTCAGTTTTAAAAGCCAATATTTTCTTAACCATTTGAGATAAAAAAATGTTTTTAATAATTTTTTTCT